TTTTGGATAAATTTAATTTACACAATGTAAAATTAAATGAAACCAATTTTAGAAATGATTTAAGGTTACATGAAAAACATTTTGGAGAAAAAATTTGGGGGTAAGAACAAATGAATAAAAAAAAAAGAAAAAGAAAATACAGAGAAGTTAAAGTTGTTTTCTATTATAATTCTGTCAATTTTAGGGCTACAAGTTTCTTTTTGGACTTGTTTTGATCGAAAAGAAGTGTTTTACAACTTTTCTTATAATTGTAGAATAGGTTAATGGAATACTTTATGAGAAATAGTTAAAAGTTTAGTAGTGAAGGCCAAAGGCTGTTTTGGCAGTATTAAATTGCAAGTTTGAAAGTTGTAGACTTGAAACTTTCAGAGTATATGTAAAATTAGAAGCTGAGCAAGTTTATTTAAGACACCAAAGTTAGTTATCTTAATAAAATAACCAGGTATTGACATTTTAGTACTGACAGATTTTTAGTTATTTTTATGTAAAAAGGATTTTTTATTATTAGTTATTGAAATTTTTAATATATAGAATTTTATAAGAATAAGGATTACTTAATAGATGTGTAATGTAATACTATGGCTACTGTGGCTATTGCAGTTTGTGTAACTTTAAAAATAATTTATATAACATATATACTACAAGATGTAATTAATATAGCAAATATGACTTAGTATAACAGTTTAGTTATATGTTTTAAAGAAACTTTTTGATAGTATATAAAATTAAATTATTAGAAGAAGAGAAATTAATAAAAAATTGTATACTATTTTAAATAATATTAATTAGTTTAATATGAGAATAATTGTAGTAATAATTTAATATTATACAAAAATTATATAAGAAAAAAGAATTTTTTAAGAAGTTTACAAGAAAGTTAAAGTTGTTTTTAAAGATATCTTTATTAATATTAGGTTTATGAAGTTTATTTAAACCTTGTTTTAATTAAAGAAATGAGCTCTATAATTTTTTTTAGAACTATAAAATGGGTTGTAAAACTAGTTATAAAGAAATAATTAAAGAAGAAGTTTAGAAATTTAAAGATTGTTATTGCAGTATTAAATTGCAAGTTTGAAAATTAGATCCTAGAATTTTTTAAAATATATATAAAATTAGGAGCTAAGCAAGTTTACTTAAGATGCCAAAGTTTGGTTATTTTAATAAAATAATTAAATATATAAAAAATAATTAAAGATTTAAATACAAAAACTAAAAGTTGTTTTAGTAATATTAAACTATAAGTTTAAAAATTAAGAATCTATAACTTTTAAATTATATATAAAATTATAAGCAAAATAAGTTTATTTAAGATATCAAAGTTAGCTATTTTAATAAAATAACCAATTATTAACAGTTTTAGTACTAATAAATTTTTTATTATTTTATATAAAAGAATTTGCAAAAAGAGTTTTTTAGTTATTGCAGCTTTTTTGTAATTTATAATAATATTACTATATATATATTTTTTATTTTCTGTTCTATTGTATAGTCTAGTATTTTATTTTTTAAATTCTCTTTAATAAAAAATTATAAAAAGTTAATATATTAAAGTAAGATCTTTTTTTTTCTGTCTTTTATTATTATTTTTTTTATTAAATTATATATTGTAATAATTTTAATTATCTTCTATAGAAAAGATTCATTATATATTTTTTTATTTTTGTAATATTTGTATTTTTTTGAATACTTATTTTAGACTATCTAATATCAAATGCTTTCTTTATATTTTATAAAAGTATTTATATTTTTTTTGTTTTTTTTTAAGCATTTTCTATTATTATATTTAGGTTATATATTAGCTGTTTTATTAAGTTGCTTAGTAGATTTGTAAATTTAAAATTTTTAATAATTTTTTTTTAATTAATATTTTGATTAATCTTTTTGGTTTTATTTTTGTAACCATTTTTTTAAAAGTTTTAATAAATATAATTGATCTAATATTATTTAAACTATAGTTCCTTAACATTTTTTAAAATGAATATATTTGTATTATTTTTTACTTGTTTAACATTTTTTCTTTTTTCTAATATAAAATTTGTCAAAATTGTAAAAATTTTTGTATCTTTTTATTTATATGTTTAATTAATATATAACTTATATTAGATATTTTTGAAACTATATTAGTTTTAAGTTCTTTTAGTACTTTATTCTATTTTCTTCTATCTAACTTTTTTTTTAACTTGTTATATTAGAATTTATTGATCCAATTGTTTAATTTATATATTTCTTTTTATTCTTTTATTATTTTTTTAATTAGTTTTTTTTTCTAAATTATTCTTATGATATTCTTTTAAACCTTCTTTAATTATATTTAGTTCTATTATTAGGTTTACTTTTTTTTATCTTGTATTATAAATCTGTTAAAGACTATTTTCTTGTATAAATGATTTAATAAACTCACAATCATTCACACTTGATTTGTTTGGATTATTTCAAATCTTCTGTTTGTGTTTTATTTTTATTTATTTTTTTTGAAATTATATTATTCTTTTTTTTTATTTTTTTAAATATTCTTTGTTAACCTTTGATATCTTTTATTCAGATCTCTAACTATTACTTATGTAGTTCTAATAACACTACTCCTATTTTTACTTCTATTGTTTTAAGTCTACTATTTATTTCTTTCTTTTCTTTTGTCTTTGCCTTTTGATTCATTTTTATTTTTACTTTTTTAATTATTTGTTACAACTTTGCAATATGTTTGTGTTGCTATTATTTTTTCAACTTTGTCTTCTATTTATTTTTGTATTGAAAACCTTTTTTAAGATTTGTTTGTTCACTAATTATACATTACATTATTGAACAAAACATTATAACCATTATATGATATACAAAATTCATTATTGTACATCCATAAAAAGCTTATAAACATGTATAGTATCATAGATATCAATATCCAGATATGATTGGTGTTTTATCTTGACTGTTTTAAAAAAAACCTTGATCCATTCGTTATTTACTGCTTTAATACAAGTTTCTTTTGGTATTCCTGCAATTTATATACGTATATGAAATATCAATATGTCACCAAACAAAAACTCGGAAATCTTGAGTACATATTACAGTACAGAAAATGTAGATTAAAATGAACATGCGGAATTACGATAATACATATCGATATGGTTTGTAAAATTAAAAATTCTTCAAAGTAAAATCATTTTCCTTATAATTTGTTCTCACGAAAAAAAAGGAAATACTAACACTTTCCCAACAAATAGCCATGAAAAATGGTTACTTAGAAAATGAGATTTTATAAATCGTGTTAACCGTATGTACGTATGATCAAATTTTTTAATATCTGATCTGTGATATAATTTTCGTACATACGTACGAACGCCTATAACAGTAAAAGAAAACCGTACTACTTACAATTGCTTACCTGGAAATCTTATCTATTTCTAGGTCTGATTTGGCGGCACTCATATGTACGTGCGTACTACGTCCCTTTCCACGCGATGATGTATAAATGATTTGTCGATATTATTATGACTCAGATTTATATTTTGCCAGATGATTTTAATCCGGGTTATACAAATAAAATAAAACAAATCGTTATGTTTATTATGCAAATATTGTGATGTACAGAATAAAAATATATAAATAAGTACGTACATGCCTCTTAAAGCTGTGACACCACTTTTCTATTTTTCTGCCTTTCGAGCTTTTCTTAGCTGAGTGACCAGTATACTATTATACTATAATAAAGTTCTATAATAAAGATCATTATTTCGCCAAATGGATTCACAATTTGATTACCACGGAAACAGCACTAAATTATCTAATGCTGATGTAATGATTCAAGTTGGAGAAGAACCTGATATGATGACATTTTTGGCTCACTCTGACGTTTTACGAAAGAAATCCCCATACTTTCGTACTGCTTTGTCAAGTACATGGGCCAAAAAAGAGGGTGAAAATATTATACTGAAAAAACCCAATATATCCCCTACGGTTTTTTCTGTAATATTAGAGTAAGTTTTTTTTTCATTGTGCCAATCATAAATTATTATAATTATTAACCATCGTTATTTATCGTTAATATTTATGATTAGATATTTTAACACTAATAATATACGGCAGCTGAGCCATCATGATGGTTCGGTAATACTCGATATTCTGGTGGCTGCTGACGAATTATTGATCGAGAATGACCTTCTTTCATATATTCAAAACCATTTAATACATGATAAATCTAAATGGTTGCAAAACCATTTTGCCCTTGTTTTACACACCGTATTTGAACAAGATGCATGTAAAGAACTACGCATCTATTGCATGGATAAAATCTGTTGGGATCCAAACGTTGTGTTCAAATCTCCTGAATTTTTAGACTTTGATAGTTCAATTTTGATTCACATACTTAAACAAGATAACCTACAGATAGAAGAAACTGAGATTTGGGATCACCTGATTCGTTGGGGAATCGCTCAATCTTCTCCTTCGGATCCGGATATGTCAAGATGGTCCAAAGATGACTTTCTTAACTTACAAGAAATATTAAAAGATCTCATTCCACTTATTAGATTTTCGGAAATTTCTCACGAATACTACGATAAAATTTTTCCATTTAGAGATATTCTTCCTTTGACTTTAAAAAATGATTTAATAACATTTCTCGATAGTAAATGTCATCCAAATTCAATATTACTTCCCCGTTGCCCAATAATCTCTATCAATAGTAGTATAATCTCACCTCAACAAGCGTTAAAGATTCCAGAATGGATTGATCAAGTGCAAAAAAACTATTATGTACCTTTTTCACGTCTTCGTTATGATTTTAAATTATTACTTCGCGGTTCTCGTGATGGATTTACTCCACAAATTTTTCATGAAAAATGTGATAAAAAAGGTCCAAATTTAGTGGTTCTTAAAATTCATGGTGATAATCAAGTTATTGGAGGTTATAATCCAATCGGATGGCGAAGTTTGAAAACAAACAGATGGCAATATACGAAAGAAAGTTTCTTATTTTCATTTGGAAATCGTGGAAATATCGACGATGCTAAATTGAGTAAAATTCAACCTGGAAACGAAGCTATTTATGATGACCCTTCTTTCGGTCCATGTTTTGGAAAAACTGACTTAGATATGCGTAGACAATTTAATGAAAAAAATAACTGTTCTGCTAAAAAACGATGCTATAAACATAATATTATTAATTATACCAAATTCTCTGTAGATGATTACGAAGTTTTTCAGGTTTTTTGTCACTTGGTAAGCTCGAAATAAACGATACTACTAGGATATGATGATTTAATTAACTATTTACATTTTTGCAAAAAAAAAAAAAAGATAAAAAAACTTTTAATTCATTCCATTCATTCATTAATTATTTTTTGTAGTTTCAACAAATTTAGAACATCTTCTGTATATATTTTTCTCGGGTTTTTATATTAATACTTTCCAAACGAAAACAATTACTGCGACAGGTGTTATATTTATATAAATTAATAAATTAATTTTTATACTCTTGTGAGTTTGCTAGAACACGTGATTTTTTTCAAATCACTCAATTATTTATTTCTTCTAGGAATTTTGGAACTATCTGTATTATTTGCATATAGTAGAATATACATATTCATGCTAAATTTTTCTAAAAGTATACTATTTTGATTAGAAGATTTAATGGACTCGAAATATATATGTAAAATACGTACGTAGTTAATTGATGTAAATTGATAATTACTTGTTTTAAATCTGATTCTTGTTTTTATTATATTTTCTGAAAGAACCATTATTGCATTTAATATACATGAAAACTTAAATATTAAGGCATAAATCAGAATAATATATAAGTGCGTGAGAGTTAAAACCTGCAAACCAATCATAGTAAATCATTAAATCGGTTTCCAGGTTTTCACTCTCACGCACTTATCTATGAAAAGTTCGAATCATTTAAATTGCAAATGCCTGAAATACTTGGTTTTCCATTTTCCCAACCACAATGTAAAGCCATATCTTAATGTATGCTTCTTATGTGAGCACTTAGCCATTTCGTGCATGATCACGTATCGAAAATGACAATAAGATGCCTAGGTCACATCAGAAATATATATTACCAAGTCCATGCTAGTTATGATACGGTTTCAAATGTTAACTTATTCCAATAAATAACGTCTAACGTTACAAAACACAATGTGAAATATCATTCAAAACAAATTTCTTTTACATAACACCTGCTCATAATTTTCTGGTTGATGGTTGATTATCTTCTGTAATGTTCTTACCAAAATAAGTGACAGATGGGTGCGCGTGATGAATTTTGTGGAACTTGTGGAACTTTCGGTAAAAACGTGTTGAACTCGTCTAAAAAAAAACGCCATTTGGGTTACCCGACGGAAAAATTATTATTCACCAAATATTTGGATAATTTTTTTTAGCCAATATTAGATTTATAATTTAGACCAAATCATCTCAAAAATCAATCTTTGACGACTATATTTCACTCCAAAATCTTTGTGACTGTATTCACAACACTAAACATCCGATATTGCGCTAATCAAGTAAAATAGAAAACTTTATAAAAATGTTTAGAGTATCAGGAAATTTTGAAACCGATTATATAATCGGCTACAAACATTAATAATTGATTTGTTTCAAACGATTATCATCACTGGTGGTGTTGATAATCGATCTATAATAATTGATTATAATCTACATGTACAATGTACAAAAATTGATTATAATCAACATGTAATCAACATGTACAAAAATTGATTAATAGCGATTAACACGGGGAATGGACAAGGAAAAACCCTTACTTTAAAGCAAATGTCGAACGGTATTTTTCTAGTCCATTCCCCAAATGATTAAATTAAATCGATTATAATCGATGCTTCTATTTATATCAATTATATACAGTCAATCCTCCATAAATGCACATCATTGAGACCAAACTTTTGAGGGCTTGCATTTAGAGAACAATAATAAAAATGCATTTATGGGAGTTTAGTATATATTTAGCCTAGAAAATTAATATGCATTTAAAGAGGTCATGCACTTAGGGGATGCAATCGATAAAAATATTGATGGTAGTGATGAGAATCGGTTTATTCTAACCAAATTTAAATATTTGAAAATTAGCTACATATTTGGATTTACTACGTAGTGCAAATTTAAATCCAAATTGTTTCATGTTTTTGCCGGTTACATCTCATCTTCCGAAAATTATTTTCCTAGATCAACGAATGATCATATATAAAGTAATCATCATAATTGATCCGTGGTTAGAAATGGAATAATTATAATACGTATTAGTGTTATTATTGTAGGTGGAAACGGAATTTATTGCGGTTTTGCAAAATTATGTGAAATTTGAAGAAAAGTTTCCGATTCTTCAATTTTTTAAATTAGACAAAATTTGCACGTCTATTATTTTGTAAAAATTTGATTATTTTTTTATAGAATAAAAGTAGCATATTTCATCATTTTATAATATATTTGCAGAAATAGGAGTTGCAAACCGCAATAAGTGGATTTGGAATTTCCTAGTTAAATTAGGGTTAGGGTGGGGCTGCCAATTACCTATTTTTGTGGCCCGGCCCGCACTTAGTTTTAAAAAATTTTTGCTGGCCCGGCCCAGCGCGCAAAATTTATTATAAAATTTTGAACACTTTTGGGCCCGCTCTGGCCCGCAGTTGTAAAATTTTGCTTCAGGCCCGGCCCGGGCTGTGGAACCCAATGCAGGCTTCTAGGTTAGGGTATGGATGTTTATACGATAAAATCAAACCCAAAATGTTGGTTTTTTTTTAATAGATCACGGTGTATGGCATTTTAATTTTTAGCCCTTCTAGTTATATCACTACATCTAGAGGTTGGATCCGGATACATCCGGATACTTTTATAATCATCCGTTATAAATCCGGATATCCGAACTTTTTTAAATTTTAGATTCGGATACTATCCGGATAGTATTCAGATAGTATCCGGATACTATTCGGATACTATATAGATAAATTTTAATCTGTTATTTTGTGCTAGTTATATAATTTTATCTTGCAAACTCTTATGATCATGGATTGCCATTTTCTGTCTTGTTATTTTTTTCACGTGTTAGATGTAATCATGTTTATTAAAATTAAAATTCAGCCAACAACTCCCTACCTATCATGATCATAAATTGTCAGATAACACCAATATTGGGCAAATTGTTGAATACGATAATTTTGCTTAACCGAGCAAATGATTGGTTTATGTGCCACTTTGCAGCACATGTTCATTTGCCCCAGTTTGCCAAATTACCGTTATTCAACAATTTTTCCCAATATTGTATACATATATATATTATTATAAAAGTGTTTATATTGTTCTTAAAGCTTAATACTTATTTATTTTAAATTTTGATATTTAGGTAAAAACATATATATAATCTTAATTAAATAGATCTTGTCAATATATAAATTTAATTTGTTAATTTAATAAAATAAAACAGATTTTGCCAATATATATATAAAAATAAAAATATAATACTTAGATATTTTTAAGCATATTTATAATTTTGATCAAAATTAGTTTAAATCATAAATAATAAAATTTTAAAATAAAACTTATCTTATTATGTTATATAATTATCTTAATTTGGCCAGATTGATTTTATATATTTTATATTTCTTTTAAAAATAATATTTTGTTAAATAACTTAGGGTTTAATTTTGTTCTTTTTTTATTCATTATAATTCCTACATATGAAAATAATCTTTCATTAGAAGTTGAAGTTGCTTGAATTGATAAATGTTTTTGTGCTATTTTTGCAATTGTAAGAAATGTGTCTTTTTGACTAGCTACCAAATACAAGCATCTCTTTCAATTCCAGTTTCTAATAAAACTAAATATTGTTAAATTTCATTTTCACTATATTTTTTTTTGCTTTAAGTTGTTTTAATAAAGAGTTACTTGAAAGTTCATTATCTAAAACAGATTAATAATCATTATTTGTAGAATTATTTGAATCATAATTTATATTATTTTATTCTTCATTATATAATTGTATTAAAATATCTTTAGTTAATTTTTGTTTAGATTTAGAGATAAATTCAAGATTTTTATATTGAGGATTCAATAAACTACATAATAATTTATTGTAAGTTGAAAATTTCCAATAATATTGCAATGCTTTGTATAATGCTGTTTTGACTTTTTTTACTATAAAATTATAATTTTTTGAACTATTATTATCTAATTTATTTTCTAATAATTTATCAAAATTAATATCATCAAAATTAATATTGTTATCAAAAAGTGTTTCAGTTATTATAAAATCTATTTCTTCTAATATATCAAAATCTTGTTGCTTATTTGAAAAACACCTAATTTTAATGTATTAATAATTGGATTAATAAAACCTATTATAAAAAATTTGCTTGATCCTAAAAATGTTGTAGTTTTTGCAAATGATAATAAAATTTTTATTAAAAATTTTAAAATATCCTATTTTTAATTAGTTAATAAAATTTATTTAAGATATTGGTATTCTTTTCTAGTTTGTATAATCTGTTGCTTGATTCATAATCATTTTAACAATATCAATTATATTTTTTTATTTCCAATAATCATTTCCAAGCTAAAAATGAAGAGTTTTATCTAGTTTCAATATTTTGAATAATTTTAAGATATTTATAATTATTTGTAATTATCTAAAATTAAAAATTATAGATTAATAAATTTTAAATTTAAATTATTTAATTAAAATTAAAAAAATATCTATCTTTATATAAAAAATTACTACTTTTACTACTATAAATTATTATATATAAAACTTTGGGTTTTATAATTTATCACTATAGTGATATATCGCCAGTTATATAATTACGTGACTAAAAATAAATAAAATGCAAAGTACCTAGTACAACAAGTAGATCAAATTTTTAAAATATTATTTATATATACTATAGTGCACAATATACATGATTTAAATTTTTTTCTTTGCATTGCATTTTACAGAGTATTTTTACAAAGCAATCTCAGATCAGAATGCATAAACCTGGGCCAGTATTAAGCAAAATTTTTAATGATGGGCCAGTATTAAGCAAAATTTTTAATGATATTAGTGGAATTGAACAATTCCGACTACTAACCAGCACTCTAATACATTCCAACCAGATGCATTTCTAACTGAGTTTTGGGATCTTTCTGTATAGCTTATTACATAAGCACATACAGTTGTTTTATCTATAACTTAACCTTACCTTAATATAAATAAGAAACTATATATATTAATTCTTACCTTTATCCTAATGCTAATTCAATAAACCCTAACTTAAATGCAAGTTTGTATTAATTGTATGTATATACATACATACTCAATTACTAATTCATTTTTATAGATAAGTGCAACAATCTTAATATATACTATGATACTACTATTAACAGAGTTGTGTTAAACCATATAAATTCAATTATGCATATGATTCTTTTCAATGATATATATAGTACATAAGGTTTTCCTATCTAATACAAAACCTAATATAGTCTCAGTCTTACATGTTAAACATTAGTGTGTACTATAACTCAATAAACAAAATACTTCCATATACAACCTTCATCAATATTGAACATCAAATTGTAAACCAAAGAATTCTAGATATTACAGTTTTTTTGATAATGACCATAATTCCCATATTTTTTACAATATTGTTGTTGTTTTTTCTTATTATTTGCTTTATGTGATCCCTTAAGTCATTTTATGCCAGCTGGTCTTCTTTTGCCTCATTTTCTTTTAAGATTTAATAGCTAAAAGTTTTCTTCATCACTTGTAAAATCTTCAATTTGACTGTCTTCACTAGATAATTCATCATTTTCGTTGGTAAATTCTTGCAATACCTCAATTAGACGTCTTGAACTTGATTTTGATTGTAAAGCTTTTTGTATAGCTTTTTTATACATTCTATGAAGAGTGCTATATAGAGCCTTTTGTTCAAGAATATTTATTCTTTGCTCAGCATGATCTATCTTCTCTTTGTCAATTGCACATAAATAAGTTATAGGTTTATTATTTTCTTGCTGAAAATTAGCTATTTCATTGTAATATTTATTGCCGATAATAAATAGTTCAAGTGATGCATCCTTATCTTTCTGATACCAGCGAGATGGGATCATTCTGATATGAAACTTGGCTCTACTACTGTTTAACATAACCTGGAAATAGTGCTAGCAAATAATACCCTGTTGAATGATTGTAAGACATGAACACAGATGTGTTTCATTATTTAATAGAACAATGTAGTGCTTTTCTTTTAATGAATTTTCAATTTTGATTTCCCATATTTCATTAACATTACTCTGTTCAACTACATCCAATAATTGTTGTATAGTAACTTTAGGACTATCAATATGATCTTCTTTAGCATTTGACATGATAATTTCAGCCTCATTATCAAATATAATATTATCATCAAATGTAATGTTTTGAGAATATAAATGTACATTATAATAAAGAGATTGATTGATTTCATTACACTGCATCTTTAAAATAGTTGGAGTTAAAAATTTTTGGCAGCATTTGTTTACCTCAGTGAACAAAAAGTTTGCTTGCTCAATATTTTTGACCATCAGTATAGCAAGTCTCCAATACTTATATTGATTTTGCTTATCTTGCTAGTCAAGTAATTTATGTATTTCTTGCATAAGTTCACAAAGCGAAATATTGAAATTATATAACAATCTTTTAAGACATGCATTCATGCCTTCAACTCTTGATGTTGAAATTATCCCCCTGGTAAATTTAAAACTCGTATATGAATGAGCCTAATACTCTTTTGTTTGAAACAGATTGTCCAGATAAGACTTACTCTTAGAATAGTCATCAATTAACTTTGTAAATCGATCGTAAAAGGTGGTCTTAACTAAACTATTTCTATATAGATAGAAGTCCTTAAGAAAACTACTATATTGACTTCCAATTAAACTTTGAAGATTTTTATGAAGGTTTTGTGTGATGTGAAATGTACAATGTATTAGGTATGTTATTAAGAAAATTTCCTTTACAGCAGCATCAACTGCAGAATCTGAATCTGTTAAAATTACTGTTGACTGAATATTAGTCACCTTGAGAATTTGTTTAAAAAACCAAACATGAGAATCTTTACTTTCATCTACAACTAGCCCTTGCACAAGAAGAATGTTTTGTCTATCCCTATCAAATTCTACAAACAATGACAAGGGCATCTCATATCTATTTATCTTATGTATAATGTCATTTATGACACAATCACTAAATTGTATTCAATTTTCTACCTGAGTTGGCATCATCCACATCAGATGTGTAAGCATATTGTTGTCATCCCATTCTCTTGCTACTATCCATCTTGGATCTTTTTCTTTCTGATTGTCAAGCCAGTTAAACATTTGTGCAGTGTCATTCAAAAGATGCTTGTTGGTAGGTCGAAATTTGCTAATAGCAGCATACAAATCATTATTATAAATAGGTTGAGAAGGATATTTACTTTCTAGATATCTTCTCTGATTTGTTGCTCCCATTTTACAATGCTGCATCAAAAACTCAATATCATTTATCATTTTTTTGCTGAACCTTTTTTCATGTTCGAATAAAATAGCATCAACATTTAACTCATGATTATGTTCATTTACAACCTTATTGATAAAAACTGCAAAACTTGGATTTTTATTTTTGAGACAAGAAGCATTTATATGCCATGGGCATCACATTTTTTTAGTGCCTGTTTCCTTATTAGAGTTGGATTCATAATATCGACCATGCTGACAAACATAAGTTCTTTTTCTAATAACATTATTTTCACGATCAACATGGTCTTTTACAACATTAAATCCATTAGTTTTACGCTATTCAATAATAAATAAGTTATATATTTTCCAGTTCGATAATACTTTTCCAGTAAATAACTCTGATGTGTCACTTTCAGTACTGATAAATGATGTTGCTTGAGAAGTGGTGGCCTTATTTTCTGTATTTTCAAAATTCCCATTATGATGATTGTTCATGTTCTTCTTTTCAGCATTGTTTATGTTACTAACGAGATGTTTTGAAATAGTAGTAGCTACATTTTTCATATTTTTGAGATGGTCTGCACTCTTTATATCTTCAGTGTTGTCACTTCAGTTATCAAGGTCATCTGTGTTCTCTATATTTTTAGTGTCATTCATGTCGTTCTTACGACTTCTGCATTTTTGGTACCATACATATTGTTATTCAGCAAAAACATGGCCTTTACAATTTGTTGCATATCATATTTATTCGACTTAAACCTACCTTTATTTTTTTTTACAAACACACTTGTTAAGTGAATAGATTGTGATTCAAGTAAAACAATGATAGATACTTGTAAATAAATAGTACACAAATATTTATTGAAGTGTTTTAGTAACGAAGAGTTTATTATAGAGTTTGTAGCAAAGAGTTTATTAACAGGAGTTTGTAATGAAGTGTTGAGTTAGTAACAAAAGTAACAAAAATTTAGAGTAAAAAAGAGTTTAGTAATGAGTTAATAACAAGAATATACATTATTAACGAAGAGCACATGTAATAATATTTAGTCTAAATCATTCTTATTATTAATTACATCATAGCTTATATCAATAAAAATCAATAGAAGCATGCAATTAGATATAAAATCAGGTTCACCCTGCAATCTACTGTATTCCATATTTTAAAGATTGATTACATTATTGTTTATACTGATCATTCTAAAACACAATTGCAGAATTGTGTAATAAATATTATATACTTACCTCTGTATATGTAGTATTTAGTATAAACAGCATTATAACACATATGCGATAATCACATAGGTGGCAAATTATAAAATTCAATTATTTAAATATAATTACTAATTTTTGATTAACTGATTCAACATTTTTTAGACTAGACAAAATTTGTGCATTTTATCATTTGTAAAATTTAATTGAATATTTTAATGCACAACTCCAATCAGTGTAGCAGTGAAATGATGAAATGATGAAACAGTAGTTATAAGGTCTGCTGTGTCAAAGTAGAAATGAATAGGTATTAATATATGAATAGAAATAAGGATACTGATAATCATACAATATAGAGAATAAAAACAGTTATATAATTAATAAAAATAATGATATGAATAATATTAATTAAAAATATATACATATCTTTAAAGTGCTTCTAAACCTTATATTTTTTGATAGCTTGTCTATTTTACACTATACAGATTTATTTTAAACTATCATATATTATAAAAAAACAAAGTTGATTCTACCTTTTTATAGCAACTTTATGTTACTTTTTTACAAATAACAAGATTTATATAATCAACTAGAGTTCACAAATAAAATGTTCAAAGAATAAATATAGTATTCACACAAATTATACATGAATCTTTTACTCATTCAACTCTTTTCAAGATGTTTGAACATTATTTTGTTTCTTAAAATTATTATTATTAGATTTTTCAAAGTTATAGAATTATTCTTGTTAGTGCTTGCATGCAAAATCACCAAATTCAAAGTTGAAATCGAAATAGATATTAATAATTTGTCATAATCTAAAGCTAAAGAGTTAGTTGACATGACAGTCAAAAATGAAGATAGTGAATCCAGAATACTCAATTGAATAATAATTGTTTGTTTTATTGGCATAATGTTTTGCAAGTTATCACAGACTTTTTTTTATTAATTTCACTTAAGTTAAACTTAATTTTTAAAATTTTACAAGGTCATTTTCATATCATTTTGAATAAATCTTTTAAACACAAAGCATAGTTATAAATAAAATATAAATCATTAAAATGCATATATTAATTGATACTTTACTAACATTTATTTATATAAATGTTTTTTTAAAAAAAAGAATATAAGTAATAGTACATAATTTGGTTGAAATGTATAAGATGATAATGTAAATAAATTTCTTTTTGTCACTTATTATATAATCTATCAAAGTTTTTTTTTTATCTTTTAATATTATATTTTCAAACAAAAATATAGTTTAAGATTTTATAACTGTTAACATTGGTTATAATACACTGGTTGAAATTTTTTAATATAAAAAATTAATATAAGCAAGATAGTTAAGTGAAATGTTAAAAAACAAATATTCAAATATCATATAAAAGAAATTATATTAATTAATAAAATTAACAAAATATTACCTTAAAATCATAAGATAATATGATAATATTATACTAAAATTTAAAATTAAAACTAAAATAAAAATGATATAAGATGATTAATATAATTATTAATAAATATTAAGTAATGCTAACAGATAGCTTTATGATTATATAAATTATGAGAAGATATTAAAATGAATAATATAGTTAATAATATATAAATCTAGCTAGACTAATATAAATCATATTTAAAAAAATAATAACTAATCAATAATGATATAAAATATTACAAATAATATAATACAAATATATAAAATATTATTATATAAGCTTAATATTAAGAAGATAGTTTATAATTAATAAATTTACTAAATTCATTAACTAATAAACAAATAATTTAATAATTATCAAAAAGATATACAAACAAATAACTAACTTATATATATATATATATAAAAACTGAAATGATATTTAGTATATTAATAATAATATATATTAATAAATTATAATATAAAAACTTTCTCAAAATAATTTATTGAAATGCAATAAATATCTGAATGAGAAAAAAGCCAAAGAATCAGTACAAAAAAGAAAAGAAGCAAAAATAAAGCGGTAGAACAACAAAACAAAGTATCGCACAAGGTGTTATCAAGATCAAGAGATAAAAACTCAAAAAATAAAAAAAATATAAAGAAGGAAAAAGAAACAGAAAGCAAAAACATAAAAGATATATGGAAAAATACAGTTAGAAAATTAATTAATAATAACAAGAGGCCTTACTAGAATGGCCTCAAAGGCTAGTCTAAATAGCCCTCTAGTAGTAAGCATTAACTTACTCTAGTGCAGCAGATCATCTTTGAGCACTAATACAATAGCTAGAGAATGTCAAATCTAAAAATTAAGCTAATATTTGTATAATCATGTATGCAATTCTCTTAATAAAGAATTTTGGCAAGGCTGCCAAAAAGTTAAAAAATAATAATAATAATAATAATTTATTGATATATAAAATTTTATTATATAGTTGAAATATTTTTAAGATATATAGTTGAGTCATTTAGTTTATTATTTTTAGTAACTGATTATTTAATAATTATATAAATAACAAAAAAATATTTATTTATTTTTTTTTTTTAGTATTAAGATGACCTCTTTGGTCTTTTGATTTTTATTAATTATTTATTAATAATGTAATTCTATAAATCATTACAGAAAAGTGTACAATTGGTTATACATATAACTTTTTTATATTATCTATTTAAGGAGTTAATCTGAAAGTTTTTTACTAATTGTTATATCTAACACCTCTGCTTGGATGTTTTACTTTAAACTCTTTAAACTTATAAGCTGTGTTAACTTAATAGATCATATCCAAATGCCTAAATCATTGTCTCAATTTTAGAACTAATTTATCTTTAAGATAAACCCTTCAGAGCCTTCTGTATTCATTTTTACAACTGATCTAGGTATTACTATAGCAGAACTAACACTTGTAGTCAGAGTTATATTATTTAATTGTTGTGCCTTTGTAGAGTTTATTTTTTTTTTTAAATATTAAGTACTTGTAACCTAGAATTTTATTGATAGTATATTTGGCTAATAGTTGCATTAAAACTACAGAAAGCAACTATAGAAAGAGTATACAACTAGCTACCTATACAACTTTATCTATTGTTTGATTTAAGTAGTCTGCTTGAAGGTTCTATACTAGTTGCCATACCTGGAACCTGCTTGTAGATTCCTTATTTAACTACTCTGTTTTTGTATCCACCTATCTACTACTGCCTACTAATAACTCTAGCCAATATCAATAAAAATATACCATAACCACTAAGTCTTTAAAGCAGTTTACTCATATGAGGAACCTTTGATCTTGTACTAAACCTTCCAAAATCTTCTGTATCCTATTCTTATAGCTAACCTAATATTACTATAGCCAAGACTAATACTAATGATTAGAGCATATCATTAAACTGCTATGTCTTTGTAAAGTTCACACCAACTCTGATACTGACTTTACAACATATCCTTACTACTTTAGTATTCAATTTAAGTTCCACTAAGCTGTCATTTCAGATATCTTGAAAAGGTAGATCAAAACTATATATCTCTGATTTATATGTTTGCTGATATGTATTCTTTTTTTTCAGAACTTAGAAATTCTGATGACCTGGTTGGTTCAACTAGTTAGTTCTTAAAAACTAGCACATTTGTTTAATTTCACAAGTTCTAGTTCTATTTCATAAGTCTAGTCTTTATAGTAGCACTGTCGAAGGTTTGGGTTACCTCTCTACTTAGGTCTTTCAAGTGAACTTTCATCTTCCTATCTGGTTCTTGTGATTTACAGAGCCTAAAGACTTATTTTGAATTTACACCACCTAGTACCAATTTGTGTTTTTTTGTACAATGTTGTATGAGTGCCTAGACCTTTCAGTCTTGTTGAAATGATACAGATTACAGATATCTTATTCCAATCAATCACAGAAGACAGTTAGCCATAACACAGAAAGAATTACAAATTTTCGCTATCATTGGGATTTGAACTCTAGACCTGCCACTTGGAGGTTGACAACCTATCCACTTCACTAGATTACTACATTCTCCTTTGTAGAGTTTATACAGACCCTAGCATCTACTTTATAGTATAATATTGATACTTTAGTATGCTCCTGTCTTTTGTCCAACTTTTTTACCAAACTCTTAATCCAGATAGCCTATATAAAACTACAACCAGTCTATTGATATATCAGGTTAGCCTAATATTTTTTTTTCTAATTTATTCTAGTAGCCTAGTTGATAGTACTTTCAAAACTCCCAACTCAGAGGCTCTTGCCTGTTCAGCTACTATAACCAAGTACTACAATCTTGTTATTCATTTTTTCAGACTAGCCTTTACAGCAAAATCATCAAAGATCTGACTATCTCTCTATTTAGATCTTTTCAAATGAACTTTTCATTATCTAATTTCAACAGATTTATATGGCTATAAGAACTTATCTAGTATTTGTACTGCCCAATTTGTTAGTTTGTATTTCTTTGTATAATAAGTTATACAGATGCTTCATAATCTGTCAGTTATGCTGGTGCAACTACCATTACAA